CTGGCCTCATGTATGCTAAAGATAAAGATGTTCTTAGAAGCTGAATGATTTGAAATGTACATTTTTAGCACAACTGACAAGCCCCTGTGATCATTCTGGGATGTATTCTGTGTCGTGTCACATGAATCAAGTCTACAAGCAAAATGAAGTGAATATATAGATTTGGGTCAGGAATGAAGGACAAAAATAAAGGATGGGGTTGGGAACATGAACACTGACTAACACCTTCAAGTCTTTTATCTCTAGAGCCTTTTTGTTTCAGTAAAAAACAATAGTTTAGCACATGATCACCCCCAGACACCACTAGTGCTGCCAGTGACCAAAACAGTAATTACTTTTGTGCAACGGCCTGAAAAACATATTCCCAATTATACCACTCAGGCTAATTTAATGGCCATTTAATCAGGGACACATTCCAGTGGCGAAGGAGACAAAGGCCTCAAAATGGGAAACAGTGTGAGTCACAACAGCTGACAACTGAACCTAACAGAACACCTTTATACTGGAAAGCAAGGAGAACTCTCTTCACCGTGAGACATTAATCACTTTCTGTGGAGAAAGAAAATCACTGTGGGATGGAAAAATGTCAGATATTCATGGGTAGTGACACTTGAGGAGAAAATGTGAGCGGAACTGAAAGGAAACTGTAACAACATCAAACAGTTCCAACACATCAAAGTGTGGTATTTAGGAACTATGTGCCACAATACATAGTCAGAACGAGGTTTCCAGACTGTTCCATTTGCTGCTCACAAAATTTAAACTGTTACACCCATTACACTGATATGTTAATGTCTCCTGGACTAGAACATGTTCCCATCACCACACCCTGGGACTGTTTCCTCCCCAATGCTGCCAAAGAGCTGCTCTGAGTGCATTTAATAATATTTGTAAAACTAATTCTGTTCCACTAGATTACACCTCTGTAATTTACAAGAAAGGGTCACTTGTCTTGACCTTGACCTCCTCTGACATCAACCTGCCTGCTGCTGCCAGCCTCCAGATGCAAACACAACCAAGTCCACAAAATCCACCACCTGTGAACCACAGGGTCAGAACCCACAGCATCTCCCGTTATCTGGGCAGGGCATGAGAACTGGTACCAGCTTCTTTTCTCTTGTGAATGCTACGCCTTGAAATCCATCGTCAGGGACTTTCAAAGCCTGTCTTTGTTCCACTTTGGTATGTACTGGCCATGAGCAAACTCCTGGCATCAACCAAACCCCTCTTTACCAGAATCACTTGTTCGTGTTCCTTATTTGTTAAGCCCATAATTTGCTTAATCGAGCAGGTCCAAACAGGACACAGATGAAAATGTGCTACAAGTGCAATTCTCCTCAAGAGTGCGGCTGCCAACCGCCCTCTGTTTACACCAGCACACCCAGAGTGGGTGGACAGCTGGGAGACAGTGGAAGAAACTTGTCCACACAACTGCTCCAAACAAAACCATTCCAGGCTCCAGGAAGCTCTGTTGGGTTTCGGGAAGAGCCTGTTGTTCTTTTCTTGTTGGCAGCAGTGGTTCCTGGAAAGGTCACATGGTATAGCACAGAGGCAGGAGAAGGTTCTACAGATGTATTACTGGAACTGTGCTGAAGCTTAGTGAGTCAGCCCAGCATTCATAGCCAAAACAAGTGATGGAACAATGATGACCAATCTCACTGAGAGGCTGCAAGGCTGATAGATGTGGTCGATTCATTAGTTCTAGATGGTATTTATTGTTCACTGAGGCCTGAGCACTAACAACAACACTACAGTCCAACAGTTTGGTGCCTGATACCTCATCACAACATTAAGCACTTCAGATTATAATGTCTGCGTCAGTGCAGTTCTTCAACTTAACCACAGACAGGACTTAGCTCCTAATGAGTCTGTGTGAGCACTGGACAACACCACCATTAAGTTGTTCATTCTGCTAATGCTTGTGTTCACGCCATAAACATATTCAGCTGTACAACCTGCAATTTCCCTTTTTCTCAGGACAGTCGAAGAACCACTGCCATTACTCTGCCTGTGTTTGGCTTCACTGGCTCCAGATAATAATCATAGTATAATATTATAGTGTATAGTATCTTAGAGTAAGGTTGCTCATGTGATTATTGCCATCTGTAGAAGTCTGCAGCAGCTTTTGAACCACATGACAATAGCAGCTTAGCTGCACTGCATTTCAATAACCAGTGGCCTCTTGGCTCTTTGTCTCTGAGCCTGTTGAACTCCACGCCGTCAGCCTCTTCTTCCTCTTCTTCTTCATCTTCTCTCCAGAGTAAAGAGAGGCGGCAGGGCCAGGCATGACTAATCCAGGAGCCTGGTTCTGCTGTAGCGTGCTGGTGACGGGTGACAAGGTGACGCCCCCTTCCCTCTGCCTATACAGTGCACGACACGGTCCATACCCTTCACACCGCAGGACAGCACAATAACCTCAGCCACCACTGCCTCCCCTAGCCGTCTCCCATCCTCCTCCCTTCTCCCCATCATCTATTCATTGCTGCTCTTTTCAGCGGGACATTCAAACAGTCAATAAAGACGAGAGCTCATTCTGTCTGCTCTGAAATGTGCAATGTCACAAAGAGGTGGGGGGATGGGGGCCAGATTCCAAGAAGGCTTAAACCTCTTCAGCAGACTGTGCCCCCACTGTGCTGCAGGAACTTCTGGGATGGTGGTGTTAGTGGGGATGTGTAGCATCATCTTTGTTTCCCATAATCCTTTTTGGATCTGAAGAGGTCTGAAGCTCTGGGATTAAGGATGATGCTGGGTTCAGGTTAAAGCTCTGAGTGACGGGCAATAGGACAGAACTGGTCACATGTCCAGGTCTCAAGTTGAGAATTAAAATAGCTATAAACTTTTTATTGTGGTTTACCAAATGCTGTTGAGCAACTTTTCTCCATGAAGTATCTTAACTCCTCCAGTCTGTCAATCACAACCTGAAGGATCTGCAACAAACGGCTGCTGCACGGAACTACAGTCTTAGCACATTAGCAGCCTTTAGCACAGCCTTTAAAAAAGACCACATGGTCATAGGAGCTTCACTGTCTCACACTCCGTTCCAGCCAACACTTCCTCCCTCTCTCTCTCTATCTCACCATCAGAGAGCCTTCAGACTGAGTGCTGCATCTCTCCTCTGATTCCATTCACACACAGACAGCCCAGCGTAAACCAAGCCCAGAATCAGACCCAGGTTGGAGCCACTGGTGTGTTCCACTGGATGAAAACTGAAGCCACAGACTACCATGCCACATGCACTCAGCTAAGCACTCGCAGGATGTTGTCTAATTTTGACCAGATGTGCTCCACCGTGTATCTAACTAATAACTGCCCAAGGAAAAGTGAATGCTGCCAACGCTCCTCCAACCTCTGGACCTCCTGGAGCTGCAGAGAGGTTTCACAGAACCTTATCACTGTCTTCTTAGAAGAATGTAGAGGTCCATCAATAAGTCCAAGACATGGGCTGCTACTGTAAGGAGCAGAGATCTAAAAATACTGTCCTACATACAGTAGGACTGGACTTCACCTGCGTTAAACTGCAGCAGGAAGGAAACTTCCACATTGTCCATTTGGACCAAACAGTTGACATTCTAGAAAGTCTGACAAAAACAAAAACACAAAAAACAACTCACTGCTCATGTGACATCACTGAAGCAGTGATGTCACATGAGCTGGAGAAGATGACGCAACAACAACAGCAGACTGAGTACCAGTGTGTGAAGCTCCAAAAGTGAGTGTAGGTGTGTGTGTGTTTGTGAGAGAGAGAGAGAGAGAGGGAGGGAGACACACACACACAGGATTCCCTCTCAGTCACTGTCTGTGGCTCTGATGATGAAAATGCATGGCGCACAACAAAAGTCTAGTGTGTGTTGGTGTGGACTTACACTGCCATCTGTGCCTGGGTGGTATCTGTGTTGTGAGTGTGTGTGTGCTCACTGTAAGTGTGTGTCTATGTGAAGCATTTATCAGTGCCTTTGCCTTGGAACGTCAAGAACGTCATCAGTTGGATTTCTGCTTGTAGTTAATGTTTTTAGGATTTTCCTTGGGTTCTGCATTTAACTATAGCACAGTCTTAAACGTCAAGGACTGTAGAACTGTCCGGGGGAGGGGAGGTGGGGGTGGGAGGCACCTGAATGACCATGAAAAGGACTGGTGATGGTAGGTGCTGGATGGATTATGAAGGACAGCCTAAGGAAACAGGGAGTCTTCTTCTGTGTCTTTTCCATGGTCCACTGATGTGTACCATGACACCAGGTGTTATGGTACACATCAGTGGTACACAGCACGGTACATCAAGTACATGTACATGGTACATGGTACAGCTGGGGGCATCAATCTAACAGTTTAGGGGCTGAAGTCTTTAGACAGAGGTTTTTGACGTTTGACCTTTGAAGACCTAAGATTCAAGTGAACTCCAAACACAGTTGAATTACATCCAGACATCTCCAGAACGTTAAGGCCACAACCAGGTGGCTACATCTTTTTACCACCTCAAAGAAGATAACCCTAACCCTAACCACCTAATGACATTAACGTATTGAGAATGAACCAGAGAAAACCTGTAACTGACTGAACTAATAATTAGGTTGGTTAAAATTTTAAATGGCCAGTCATTCAGGACCATTTGTAGTCAAACTTCTGGGCTTTAATTTGCAGTCTATATGGGTTTCTCTTTGGTTCTGACCTCAGATCTGTTTAAAGTTGGAAAACAATGAGGGTGACCTCCTGAATGAGGGAAGAGTGAAGAAAACAGAACTCGAGCAGCACGTGAACAGAAAAGTACAAATCACCAGAAGAGCTCCTTAACTTCAGTAGAAAATAAGTTAAAAACATATTTGAGGCAGCAGAAGAATCAGTCAGGTCTTCTCAGTCCACACACACGCACACACGCACACACATACACACAGCAGAAGATCAGATGGCTGTTCTACACCTGCCTCTGTGCAACAGCGACGTCTCCTGTCTGGACTTCACAAACTAACCCTCTGTGGTTGGAGGTTCGTGTAGATGTAGCTTCTTACCGTCACAGTGATCGGTCGTCTCGGCTCGGATTGTTCCCACACACTGGAAAACTACAGCAACTCCAAGCAGGAGCTCGAGCCTCTTCACGGCTGCCATATTCATGTCCACTGCTGCCTAACCCTGTGGTGACGGTGTGTCCTCGGTAATCCCTGTGAATGTTGAAGAAATACCAGCTGAGCTTCCTGCACCGAGGCTACTGCTTCTATCTTTCAGCCTGTGCGCGTCTGCGCGCTCCTGTGCCTCGCTCCTCCTCACAGGTCTCCACCTCCGAAACAACAAGCAGGGGAGAGAAGACCTACTTCTAGAACAACAGCATCACGATCCTACAAACTGGTCTCATCCACACTGAGGGGAGGTGCACGCTCTGTGACCCGGAGTAGGGGTGCGCGCTCCTGCCTGGTGGAGTCCGTGCGCTTCCTCGATCATCGACTCCTCTCAGCCAGCGGCTCCTCTGTTGGAGGAGCAGCTGAGGAGCTGAATACACAGGGTCTGAGCGGGAGAGAGTGAGGGGAGGAGAGGGAGATACATCATCCAACTTGTTTGCCTGTGTGTGTCTCTCTTGCCCTATCTCCCTCCCTCTCTCTCTGACCTTGTCACCTTGAACTTGTGCCCATGGACATCAGGTTATGATGATGATGTTGTCTCCTCCCTGTCCCTTCTTTGTTTTTTTGGACTTCCTCTGTTTAGATGGGGGTACAGTTGTAAATGGAAGACATATAGATGTAACTACTTCATAACCTATTAATAAATGTTTCTACAATTAATTATTTATTCATGTTGTTCAATGCTGTGTAATAAAATATATGTAAAAAAATACTTTATCAAGTTAAGAAACTCTAACTTTTTTCTAACTCTGCTGCATGGACTTTTTAAAATGCTTCTTAAGCTCCTGTGGGCCATATTTGGCCCCCGGGCCATGAGTTTGACACGTGGTTTAGAGCAATAAAACAGCCAGTGTCTTCCTGAGCAGTAATTACTCTGATCATCCTAAATGGATAAGTTCATATAAGAGAGCAAGCGCTGTTGAGAGGAGAGTGGTGACGTTGTCAGCTGATGATCAGAGACTGAAGATGTTTTTGTAGCATCGTAGGCTATCCATGGGAATTTGTCTTTTCAGCTGACTTGAAAAGTAAATCAACCACTATTATAGTTTTAGCAGCAAGTTGTCACCGAGCCTTCTAGGCAGTTTGTCTGTCATCACAATGAGAAGCGTTGATAGGTAGCAGGGAGTGGTCTTTAGCAACAATGGGAGTGTAGACTGGCACACGTGGGTGCTCTGCAATCTCCGTGGATCTAATCTAAACATGCTTTACAATGCAAAGTGTTATACTGACTTCACTGGGAAAGTACTGATTCCTTCATGCACTCTTTTTTCCATCCCTGCTCGTCATTAAACCAATGGGTTTAATCGGTGCAGCAGCGGCAACAGCAGCAGCAGAGTGACATCTGTGACTCTGTGACAACATTAATGGAATGAAAAGGAGAGGTTTCCAGCAACTCCATCAGGGTCTCCCTGGTCTCAGGGAGGTGGCGCTGTCAATTCTCCAGAGTGCTCATGTCACCACCACCGTGTTTATGATGCTCGGCCTCTCACTCAACAGAGAAAAAAGAGGTGTCGCAGACCACCTGCCTGATTGACAATGAGCTGGTCTTCTGCATGATGATTGGACAGACAGTTTCAGAAACAGAACTACTTTTTTGTTAAAATTTTATGGTGGAGAGTAAAAGAACTACTTAAAAGACATGACCATTAATAGACGTCAACTGTTTTCAAGTGAAGCAGCTTCAGTTACAGTAGATCAGGAGTCGGGAACCTTTTTAGCAGAGAACTAAAAAAGTCACACATTTTATAATGTATTATTGTGAGAGCCATACAATATATTCTTTTACCACTAAATGTGTGAATCTGAATTCATGTCATTCCTAGTTTCCTGTTGACTTGTCTGCTTCTCCACTAAGTCTAATTCATAACAAACTCTTTAGCTGTTAGCACAGTGTGACTGATGTGTGACGTCCCTTCTGGTTTTCATGCCTCGGAGCTTCTGTCGTCACCGTCAGCAGGGTAATTGTACAGTGGGTTGGAGAAGGAAAGACTGGCACTGGTCCAAGTGGAAGCCTGCAGCAGAGACAGACATGATGACATCACTGACCTCTGACCTCACTGACCTCTGTCACCACAACTACAGTAAAGGTTGACTAAGGACACATCACCTCCACCTCTTTCCCCCACGGGTAAACACTGATGGAGAGGCCCCGGGGCTGGCTCCTCCTGGGGGTAACTCTGAGGGTCACTCTGGTTGGTGCGTCATCCTGGGATGGAGACTGAAGGAAAGAATCAATACATGAGCGACTCCTTCATCTGTCGTCCAGTTTACACCTGAGAGTCACACGACTGCAGAAAGTTCAACTACACAGTGTACTACGAGTGATCGCAGTAACAACTAAACTACTGGACAGTGATGGTCAGTACAGTTCTGAAGGGTTTATCACCTCAGGTACTACAGTACTCATGTCTGTTATGAGTACTTTTGTGTACCCAGAGAGCAGGAGAGTTTTGGTTTTTGCTCAACATCCCAGGGTTCAAACCAGCAACCATCCAATGTCCAGTGCAATAGAGGTGATGGCTCTTAAACAACGTGACGTGGAATTAGAACATTTTTTAAATTGTCTCCCACAGTTATTTATTCAAGTGATGACATCACCAACTGTGTTGAAAAATAAAACCCACAAAGACAAAAGGTATACAGCTACATCAGGTGATCGACCTTTGACCTCTGATATAAAGGCCCTTTGAACTGCATTAACCAAGATGGTAAAGAAATCAGATTAAACTGCAACAGGATTATCTGGTGTGTGTGTGTGTGTGTGTGTGTGTGTGCACTGACCTTTGCCCTGTGGTCATCCATCACCCAGTAGTTCTCTGTTCCATAGTCAGATTTTCTGAAGGCCAAGTTAAGGTACCATCAGCAGCAGTGACAGCAGCAGTGACCGTGACATCAGCAGCAGTGACATCAGCAGCAGTAACAGCAGTAGCAGTGGCATCAGCAGTGGCATCAGCAGCAGTGACAGCAGCAGCAATGACAGCAGCACCAGTGACAGCAGCAGCAGTGACAGCAGCAGCAG